ACTCTGAGTTTCTAAGTAATTGGTTTCAACAAAATTAAATTTTATATTGGAATAAAACAAAGGAAACACACTAGATAAGTAGAATCTATGGCCTTTGAATACTTTAAGGAGAACAGGTTCAGTTAACTAGATAATAAGCGTCGGAGTTGGTAAACAAATTTGGTTGGTCTTTTTTACTCGAATTGCCACCTTTGTGCTAACACCAAAACCGAAGTTAGCTATTTGTGACTTCTGCCTTTCCAATAGTATTAAAAACTAGCAGTATTGTGTTTGGTATTTTTAAAGAAAGCTATATTATTATAAGGAACTTATAGTACTATTTCTAAGTTTTTATTAATTTTGTTTGTTTTGATGATCTGATATTGTTCTAATAATAATAATATTATTTTTTGCTTTATAACCAACTTTATTTATTTACTTTTTTATATTTACTATATGTATTTAATTTATGTAAGAAATTTAATATAAAACTTATAATTACCTACTATATTATTCTAATAAAAGGCCAATCATATTACTTAACAAGTTTAAAACAAAAATATTGTTTTTTTTTAGAAATCAATTATACTCAAAGCTTTATTTATGAAATCATCTTTTGATTATTGATAAACTAAATTCCTTCTATATTTTACTATAAACTATCTTCAAACACCTCTTACTAGAAATGGGTTTTATGCATGTGCATGATTGCAGAATCATGCATATTAATGCACATTCATGTACATGATTCTGTTTCATGCTCATTTTATTTCATCAAGATTTCTCTTCTCTCGATCATTTTTTCTTTTTTTTGCCTTTTTTTTATTATATAATATTGTGCACATAAAACATTATATGTGCATTAATGCATATTGATATGCATTTTATTATAAAATACACATTTTTCCTATCACTACTCCTTACATTAACTTTAACCATTGCTCAATTTTTTTCTTTATACAAATTTTGCTTTACACATTATATAAATTTATTATTTAATACCTTTGTACAACACTCTACCAATAAAATAAACACTTTTGAACTATCTATTATGTAAATTATTTATTATTTATACATTTAAAACTGGAAGCAAAGCAACAGGTTATATACTAGTAATATTAAATAATATTATATTTGAAATAATAAAAGTTGTATAGAGACAACTAAGAATATTATTTATATTATTTATTATTTATGCTTAAAACATTTGAAACTTGTATTTAGACACTTGAATTTATATAAAAGCATTTGAGATTTATATAGAGATACTTAGGATTTATATAAAAATACCTGAAATTTGTATTAAAGATACTATAAATTTTTGTATTATAATATTTGATATAATAATTTAATACTAGAATATATAAAATTTGTATAGAAATTATTTAATGTTATGTAACTATATTATATTTCTAATAACTAATTAAGATCCTTTTATCTATTTACTATATAATATAATTATTAGCTAACTAATAACTAATAATTAATAAATATAATTTATATAAAATATAATAATAAATATATATAATTACTAATAATATTATCTAGTATACTATATTAAAAACTATAAAGAAAAAAAAAAGAAAAAAAAAAGAACAAATTAGAACAGAACATAGAAGACAATGTTGGGACTTGTCATTGAAGAAAGAAGACTCTTTTATTATAGACTTTAAATAGTTAAACAAGTAGTTTACTTCTGTTTGAAGTAATATAACAGGTTGCACTTAAGTATTATTAAAGTAACCAGATAATGCTAAATTTAGTTGTTAAAAACATTTATGTAATTGCAAATATAATTTCAAAATCTTAATAAAATACTAATATGACTGCTTAAGAAAAAAAAAATAATTAAAAACTATTTTATAATAATATGAAATTACATTATGCAAAACTTATTAGATTAGTAGTATAAGAAAACTTGTAAAAATAGACAAAACACCAATAAAGTAATAAAAAAAAATACTAGAATTGTATAAACTTTATAAAAATATAATAATTTAATAATTAATCTTAATTACAAATGTTGATTTAGTCATAACAAGTCTGAATTAGCTGTAAATAAAAATACAGAAAACTTTAGAAAATTTACCTTAAGAATAAATTAGTTCTAAGATTAAAATAAAAATCTAAACATGACCTGACAAAATTAATATAAATTATAGATTCAAAGAGTTTGAATAAAATATTTAAGCAGAAATATTAGATATAACAACTGATAAAGAACTCTTAGATAAACTTTTTAAATAAATAATATAGAAAAGTTATAGATGTAATCAGTTGTACATTCTTCCTGTAATAGTTCTTGTAAAACTATGTTATCCAAAAAATATTAATAAAATCAAAAAACCAAAAAGGTCACCTTAATACCAAAAAAAAACAAAACCAAATAAAATATACTATATATTATAAAATTTTTACTATTAGTTACTATATAATTTATAATAATAATTATAATTCAGTAAATAAAAAAAGTATAGTTTTACAAATTATATACGTAGAAATGCTGCAATACGTAGTAATTTATTATGCGTATCATATGCAGTATACGTATGCATAATATATAGTATATATATATACGTATAACAAAACGGTTCTTATATAGATGTATTATAAAACTTCTAAATCAAAAGCCGAATTACTAGCCACTTTATAAGAACCAAGAAATTAACTTTTTATGGCTTAATACCAAAATTTGTTCTTTAAAGTTTTTTTTTATTTATCAATATATATATTTTTTTGCCGATATAATATATAATAAAAAACCCTTATTGAGTTTAGCAATTGTTATAAATTCGGAAAGAGTTCTGCAAAAAAGGAGGGAAAGCGATAAGATATTTCCCCTTTTTGCAGTATAAAAACAATACTACGTAACGCTAATATTCACATACTTTTTTTTATATAAGTATATACGTGAAATTGTTAGAAACCTTGTCCTATTTTCGGATCAAAAATTTGTAATAAACCGGCTTGCGAGGTACAGGACTCATGGTCACAGGACCCGAGGTCACGATCCTAAACTTCTAAATTTAGACAAGCTCTAGTTATTCATTTCAACCAACTAACCTCACAAAGAAAAAAGGCTACACAATGATTTAATAAGAGATTAAATAACGGCAAAAAAAAGCTCATCGGCGGAAGATGCCCATGAAGGATACCATGATCAAAGATCATTAAGTGTCGTAGAAGTGACACAAAGGTCCTGACACGATAAAAAATTAATCGATCTTTTAATCAAAAAGGCATTATACAATGTTTCATTTACGCTTGATCCTAGAACCAGTAACTAAAATAATAAAACTAGCCAGATTCGCGATAATGTTCACGTAACTAAATTTTTGACTTTAGTAAAGAAAGCAAACGCGTTGTGTATTCTTCTCGCCTTAAGATCAAACAATAATTGCGTGTAACATCTTTATGCAGTTATTTCTTTTTTGCTTTTTTTGCTTCTCGCGAAATTTGTGGCCTGAATTGAACATAATCAGTTAAACCGAAAGTTCTCTCAATGAGATTTTATTTATATCAAACCCACCAGAGAATTTTAATTTACATCAGTGTAACATGAACTAATCTTTTTAAAAATATAGTCTCGTAAAATACTCTCATGAAAGTGATGTGGTTAATTATAAGACGTATTACCAAGCTGCAGTCTTTTTTCAAGGCGCGAAAGCCACAAGCTAATGATGACTATAATGGGTAACATTAATACGCAATGATACATTACTTCATATATTTTCTGATACAACCCCGAAATCTGATACGTACTATCAGTGTCTGTCTTATACTCATCCTGAATCACTTGATCAAAAGTTCTAAGTCCTCGTGCAACGAGGCCGTGCGTAATTTGTCATTTCAAAGTATCACCAAATGTGGATTAATGATTCGTCTAAGATATAAAACAATTGCAGAGTTTCACAAAAGAACGAGTAAGTTTTTTTCGGAAATCAGGGAACCTGACCCAGAACTCAATAAAAGCAAAAAAAAAAATAAAATAAAATTTCGGTTCTTATCTACAACGAAACTTTATGAGAAAAACCACTGTGCTTAATTATTGTACTGTGGCCTTTTTCATAAATAAAGGTATGTGATTTAAAGGGCCCCGGAATGTAAAAAAACAAATGTTGTATGTATATATTTTTTTTATTTTTTGACATGAACTGACCGAAAATCGTAAAGATTCAGATAATGCCCAACCCAGTTTTTCTTTCTTCATTTCTCCTATTTTATGAAAGGTTCTCTTCTTTCGAGAACCATGAACCTTCCCTTTTGTTCTTACGTTTACAAGATTGAATTTTACTCTTACATGATGACAAGACGCAGCTGTGTCTTCTCGACAGAGTTTACTGTCACTCTTAGAAGGACTACAATTGAGTTATGTCTTCTCTATAGGGTCATAAGTTCCTGGTGGAATCGCGATTAGGTAGACCCTTTTCCAGCTAACGCTAATTAAATTAACACTTTATTCTCAAGTGTTTCTCATTCATGTGTTTTGTCCAACTTCTTAAATCCAAAATCTCACTGATAATTTGAGTTCATCCCATTTCATCATTAATCAATCCATGGGTTGATAATTTATATAACGAATAAATTTTTTATGGCTTTTTAAGTTTGTTTATCTAACTAAAGTTTTTATCCTTTTCTTCTTATTAGATATCTCTTCGCGCTCATTACGAGAGATATACGGCGTAGCCTCATTATACAATGTTAGTGATTGATTTATTATGATTATTTTATATATATATAATTTTTAGATCCGCTAACTTTTTTTTTAATCACAGTATATTAAATAATTATTACTTCTGTCGACAGTTCCCCTCATTTCAATTTTTCAGGTATGTCTTCCGTAATCTGCATTCTTCTAGTGTTGATTGCATTTACATCTTTTTTTATTTGACTTTATCGAATGTTTTATTCCCGTAAACATTATAAGGTTATAAAAAATGACACTATTCACATTTCGTACAAAAGTTTTATTTAAATTTTATAGAGTATATCAAAACTATTCCATGAATCAATTTCCTATCATGTCCGATTTACCTTATTCACCGCTCCTTCCAAATGATCCAAATTTTTGGGCTTGGTTAGATGCACTTCTTCTTGAAATTCTTATGCAACATCAGGCTGTTCCATTATCTAGGCAAGCCTTGAATCATTTGTCTGCCTTAAACAATTATTATAATGGTTTCACTGATATTCAAGTTAAGATATATGGGGCTCTTGCTCAGGCTCATGAATTATCTGGAAATTGGCTCGAGGCCATTAATGCACATCGTAATATTTTAGCCTTAAGACCTGATAACATTGATGCTATGGTGGGTTTGGCAAAATGTTACAACAAGAACGGTGATAAAACTCAATTCCTAAGTACTTCTTACGACGTTATTCGTACTAAACCAACAAACTGGGAATTCGCAAATTATTTGACCGATGCTCTCACTAATGACCCTTCCCTTTTTCAAGAAGTTTTGGATGTTTTAAATCACGTTTTACAACATTCTCCAAATGCTCCTATAAAGATGTTAGATGTGGGTTTTATACAGTCTCTTTTTTATCGTCGTGCTCAACTAAAAAAGCGGAATAATGATTACTTTGGGGCACTCATAGATTGTTTCTCGGTTTTGGAAATAGCTTTGAATGGAAAACCCTTAAAATCATTTTTAGATGATATAATTTTATGTCTTGGATTTAGCAATTATGATCCTAATCAAGTTCCATTTATCATCTTACCTGTTAATGATTCTTTAAGATTACTTGATTTATTATTTCCAACAACAAATGGACTATTTCCTGGTCATTTGGGTTTATCTTCCCAATCCGATATACGATTGGCGAAAAAACAGGTCTTTGGTATTCTTTATGAGATAAGCTCTGCTTTTGAATCTCATCCAAAAGAATGTCAATATTTTTTAAATGATGTAGCCCCTCTTAGTTCAATATCTTTATTATTTCTATATTTGGCTTGCGCTTGTTATCCTTCTGCTCAAATTTTCTTTGAAATCGCCGCTATGCTGAACAAAATTTCTGGTGTTACTGCTTGTCGTCAGGCTGCCATTGGTTACCTTGGTGAAGGTATTCAATTGGATCCTAAAAATGTTGATGCTTACATTAATTTAGCTGATTGTTTATATAATGATGGAAATATTACTGGAATGACTGAAGTATATGAAAAACTATTATCTTTTCACATGATTTCTGATGAAAACCATTTGATTAGATTCGCCTTTGGATGTTGTTATATAGGTGATATTGCCAAATTAACGGCTACTTGGTCTAATGCTCTTTTATATTACAAAAGAGCTCATACTTTAAGACCAAATGATCCTATTTTCTTGGCATCTTTAACTCAAGCTAATACACATGTATGTTACTGGAAGGATCGTGGTGGAATAGGTTATCATTCAGTTGATAGTAACGGTAATTTAAATCGTTTCTCAACTGTTCAAAAATCAGGTCAGATGGCTTTGGTTGCAGATATTGTTGAAAAAGCTATTAATGATGGTGCTAAATTTGGAAAAGGAATAATCGAAAAATCTGGTGGTATTTTAACTCTTTTAACAAATTTATGTTCCAATTTAAGGGATGATGATAAATCGGTTAAATTTTTCAAAGCTAAAGCTGCAAAATGGAGAAATCAAACGTTGAATTTAAAAAATGAAGGTGGTTGGGTTTTACGTGTGATTCATCATATAATGCGTCGAATTCAACATAAATGGTACGTGGACTCATATGGTGATATAACCCAGAGTCCACATGCTCTACCACCGATTAATGTAACCCCAAAGCTTCGTTCAAAATACCAACGCCCATTGGTTCCCTCAGGATTAGAACAACCAGTGGCTACGCCTATACAGCCATTTTATACATTCATATATGATTTAGATCCAAGACAAGTTCGTATAATATGTCATAGGACCGCTTTAAACATTGCTTATGAGGGTTGCACGGCTTCTTGGTTGGATACATGTGTTTTCCCTCCTCCACCACCACCATCACCTAGGTTGAGAGTTGGTTACGTTTCATCCGATTTCAAAGATCATCCTTTAGCTCATTTAATGCAATCTGTATTTGGAATGCATGATCGTAACATAATAGAAGTTTATTGTTATTCACTTTCACCAAATGATGGTTCTTCATATCGAGTAAAAATTGAAAAAGGAGCTGACAAGTTTTATGATTGTCACGCTTGGACCACTGAATCTATTGTCAAACAAATAGTTCACGACAATATACATATTCTTGTCAATCTCAATGGCTATACAGCTGGTGATAGAAATCTTATTTTTGCCGCTCGTCCGGCCCCGATCCAAGTAACACACATGGGGTTTGCAAGCTCATTAGGTGGTTTATGGTATGTCAAAAGTTAAAGCCTATATCTACTTATATTCACTTTTTCCTTTAAAAAAAAAAAAAACCATTAAGGAGTAATTAATTTATATATATTATTTTATTTATTATATTAGGACTGATTACAATATAGTTGATGAACATGTATGTCCGGAATCCCAGACCAGCGACTTTCAATTTTGGAATAAAAGTCGTGATAATGATGGTGATTTATTGGGTGAAGTAGATCCTGAAGAAGATGATAAAAATTGGACATATCCAGAAAAGATAATTTATATGCCGACTACTTACTTTATTAATGATCATAAACAAGGATTCTATGATGATAATATTTCTAAAGGATTTTATGATGAGAACATTCCTGGATGTATACTTGCAAAAAATCATATATTAAGATGGTTTTTTGAGGAGGATCGTCGTTGGGATATGCGTAAACAACTTTTTCCAAACTTAACTGATGATTGGGTTATATTTGCCAATTTTAATCAATTGTATAAGGTATATTATCATTTTAATATTTAATTAATATTATTTAACATAATAAATTTGACTAATTATTGTTAATCATTAAATCAATGGTTTAGATTGACCCAGCAATCTTTAAATTATGGTTACGAATTTTGGAAAGAGTACCGAAGTCTATCTTGTGGATATTAAACTTTCCAGAAGAGGGCGCAAAGAATCTTTTAGAAACTGCAAAGCAATGGGCAGGTCCAAATATTGCAAGTCATATATATTTCACGGATGTAGCGGATAAAAAACAACACGTTATAAGAGGAAGAATAGCTGATTTGATTCTTGATACACCTCAAGTGAATGCGCACACAACAGCATGCGATATACTCTGGTCTGGAACACCAATGATTACACTTTCAGGACCTGAACACAAGATGTGTTCTAGAGTGGCTTCTTCTATATGTAATGCGACAGGATTTGGTGATAAAATGGTAGTGCCTGATTATCAGGCGTATGAAGACAAGGCAGTGGAATACGCAAATTCGGTGGTATATAAATATTGGTTTGGATGTTTATTACCGGGAGCACAACAACGTCTTCATCGAAATGGTTTTGGTGAATTGATTGAATTGAGAAAAAATATATACTTAAACCGAGAAAACATTCGTCTTTTTGATACACAACAAGCTGTTAAAGAGCTTGAAAAGGGATATGTTGATGCGTGGGTTCGTTGGGTTAATGATAACGAACGCAACATTCATATAAAGATATGAGAATCGGTCATTTTGTAATTGAATTTTTAGCAGTTATATTAATTTACTGAAAAATTAGGCAAAAGCGGTCATCACACGATGGAAATCGATTTTTTGAAATAGTTTTCGATATTAATCTGTCATAAATTTCGTTAAAATTTTTTTTTCTTTCTCTTTTAAATTGTAAATAGTAGATGTTTAAACACCAGACATCATTACGCATATAAAACGGTTAGATATTTAGATGTTAGTTAAATATGGTCTAATAATCTTAATAGTTTGAAATCAATGCAAAAGGTGATTACAAAAAAAAAAAAAATTTATTGTTATTGTATCGGTATATATTTTTTTATCTTTTTTTTTTTTACATGAAAAAACTATCGTATACTAGGAAATCACGAAATCACTCTTGTATTTGGTATACTAGGGAATCACTGTTTTGTATTTGAAATTAACGTTAGAATTGCAGGATGATGTTAATTTTTAGTGTAAATATGTAAACGAATTATTAAAGACAATTGAAAAAGTCAATCATGATGATTGATCTATGTAAATTATTCGAATTGGTGCTTATTTGTTGCTGGAATTGTATAACGATAAGTGATTAATATGGGTTAATTTACTTATGTAATTGAAATCTTGTGGCCGAATCTATTAGCACTATTACTGGCAATTTCGTGGAAGTCTCACGGCATTCTATATAAGTCACATGGGATTGTGCTATAAATGGAGTCAAAATTAGTTCGATTTACCTAAATTATAAACCAATATATTCATAATTTAGGCAATATGATCATTGGTAATGAGCAAAAGGCGTTGAGATTATCCTGATAGCGCGATAATACCGTGTGATCATCTGAAAATCTGCCTAATTTACATTAATGACATTAACAGATATCGATATGCAAATACATATGTGAGTACAGTAATAACTTTATATACAATGCGTATATTCGTTTCGATTAAACTCTTTGTAAGTTTCACACCAGATTTTACGCTAATGGTTAAAATTTTAATTTAATGGCCTAGGTTTAAAGAGCATCTTTGTTCTGTTCAGTGTCCATTATTAAGTATTTGCAATTTTAAATCTCGGCGGTGATACCAATTAGGTGGTATGAATACACAAGGCAACAGAATTGTCAAACAAAACAATCACTTAAATATATATAACTTCAATCGGAAACAATACATGATAAAGTGTTTCAAATACATATGTACATACGTACGTGCGTGAATGAATATATATGCATTAGGTGAAGTGCTGTCACCGACTTTAATAAACATATCTCAATTCTTTATTCCTCTCTTGAACTCTTCATACTTTAAATTGGACTTTTTTCATATTTCAAAGTGAAAAATAAAAAAAAAAACACTCATCTTGATCAACGTATTTATCGAGTTTGTAAATAGAACTATGGGACAAACACTATCATCAGATGAGTCTGTAAATAAATCCATGGGACAAACACAATCATCAAGTGAGTTGGCGGAAGAAAAGTATCAAAGATATCGAAAATTAGCACATGATGAAGCACAACGTCGTAACGAATATTTTGCTCAATCTCAGGAGGCCTATAACAATCATGAAAAAAGAAAAGCAAAAGAATTATCAATAAAAGGAAAAGAACATGCAAAACAAATGGAAAAATATAATAACATGGCTGTTGATGTAATATTTGGTGGTAAATGAATTGTTCGTTTTATTTATTTATCTATTTTTATTTGTCAATTTTTAACAAATATATAATTATTTAAAACAGAAAATAATAAAGGTCGACCAATAACTGAAATCGACCTTCATGGACTATATGTAAAAGAAGCAATGGATAAGACCGAATCGCGTATTCAACATTGTAAAGCTAATAAAATTGATCATTTAGTTATAATTGTTGGTCGTGGAAAACATTCAAGTGGTTTAGCTAAGTTAAAACCAGCAATTATCAACTTAATGAAAAAATATCAATTAAGATGTACCCCAGATAAACCAACTGTTGGTTGTTTATATGTAGAATTTGGACTCCCCGGAGAACCAATCAATATAGGATGGTTCGATAATATTACAAATTGTATTATTTGTTAAAAGAGATTCAAGTAATGGCTAAAATTATGTATAATATTATACCGTATATATTTTGACAAGAATATTATTTTTTAACTCTAAAGAAAACTACTATCTCCATTTAAATTTATGTACCGTATATTACCGAATAAAAGCGACAAAATATTGCAAAAAAATTGGTTGGTCTAATTATATTTACAATCATGGAATATGTTCTAATGGTTGCTGTTACTATAAATCAAATAAGTTGACATACCAAAAAATATATATCTCTCTTTTTGAAATGTTAAAAAGTTAATATATTTTTTTATTTATAATTTTTTACTAGAAGTCTTGTTTTTAAATTATTAATACAGTGGATTCACTTACCTTTTATTTTAAAAATTTTTAAATTAAGCCACAAATTTAATATCTTAGTTTTCATAATATGGAATTTTTAAACAGACCCGGTTGGTTGGCTTTTTTTAAAAAAAAAACCCCCCACTCGGGCATTAAACCAAATTTTTTCAAAATTTGACCCGGCCGAGTTATAAAACCCAATTCATTAATTTTTCCTTAATATACCTTTTAAAAACTAAAGATATCAAAAAAAATTTTATATATTTAATAGCTTTTATTTAAACTATTAAATTTACAAAATCTTTTATATTTAGAACATTAATTAAATTTATATAATCAAAATTTTGGTGCTTATATATATAAAAAAACAACAGAATTTAAATTATTAACAAAGTTTTAAATTTTATTAATAAAATTTAAATTATATTAAGGTTTTTGTATTTTTATTGGCTAAATATGTTACATAGCAATTAAAAACTTAATGCTTATATAAAAAATATATTGATTTTAAAATAAAATCTAATATAGTTGTTTAAAAAAATTTATATTATATTAAAATTAAATATATATATATATATATATTTTTTTTTAACCTTAAGTAGTTACACTAGTACTTTATTAAGATTCTTAAAACTATTTACATTTATAATTACATAGAATTTTCTAATACTTAAGTCTAGCATCACTCGGCCACCCTATTGGTACCTAAGTGCAACTTGTCACACTATCTCAGTTAGAGATAGACTGCTCATCTAACTACTTAAAGCCATATCAGAAGGGTCTTTCTACTTCTGTGACAAGCATATTAATTGTCTTCCAAGCTTCTTTCTTCATTTGATTTATTCTTTCCAATTTCTTCTTCTTTTCTTCTTCTTTTGCCATCTTATTCTTCTTTGTTCTTTTCTCTAATCTTCTTCTGATTCGAGCATCTTTTTTTATTTTGCTTGTTATATTAACCTTCTTTTTCCATTCTTGTACTTTTTCATAACAGATTCTTCATATTTAGTCATAAAATGTATTCCATACTGTTCTTGCTACTATATCCATGCATTTTTGTGTTGCCTGTCTGTTTAGAATTTGATTAATCCTTTTTTCAATCTTATTCGTTATTAATCCTTTTACTAAAGTTGCTCTATTAGTAATTTTCTTTGCTTCTGTTTTTCCAAATAATGTTTCATATAACACAAGAGGTGGAATTCTAACTTTTTCATTTTCTTCAAGACTGTTTTATGCTGTTGCTGTTGCTACTTTTTGAATTCTCTTCCACAAGTTTTTTTGTCCAATGCAGCTTGCTAGATGTGCTTGAGTCTCCTTTTCACCTCTTTGGCATACTTGGCAGTTAGTTGTTATATAAATTTCTGGTTTTCTTCTATTTAGTTCTTTTAGTATTGGTAGGCTGTCCATTATGCATTTAATCACTGTAGCTCTTCTTGTACTAAGTTTACTTGTCATGCAATGTACACCTTTTGTTCTATTCATCTCTTTCCAAAAACTTGATCAGTTATATCGAGTGTTCTCAGTTTCTGGTTCCAATGCTTGAATTGGGTTTGTTTCTCTCCAGCTTACTTCGATTTTGGCATTCATGACTATTTTACAAAGAAGTCTTGTCAGTATATCAACTTTTCTGTTTTCCCATTCTAAGTGGTATTCTATTTTGTCACACTTAATTTTCTCTGTAAATATTGTCCTTTTACACATTGCTCCTTTCTTTACAAGCAAATCTGCTCTGTTGTTTCACTTGTCATTGCTGTGACTTTTAATTTTAACTAATTCTATTATATTGTTCTTGTTTTCAAATAGACTTACAATATTCATTATCCATATCATATTTTTCTTTTTTAGAACTTTGTTATCTCCTATTGCCTGAATTGCTCTATTAATGTGCCTTAATGTTGCAAGACTATCTGTATACACTTCTATATCTTTCTCTTCTAGTATAGTTAAGATTGCTAACCATATTGCTGCTAATTCTGCTATCATTGCTAAAGGTCAGCCTTCAAGTCCCAGTATTATTTTTTCTTCTGACCAGTTTTCTTTATCACTAACCTGTACCTAACTGATACCTATTTTTGCTGTACTGTCTTTTTCTTCTCTTTTATATAATACTCCATCTGTATAAAGGGTGTATTTGTCTTTGTTTCTTTTCTTGTTTCTCAATAGGGCTTCTATTATGATATCTTCAATTTTACTATCAAATGCTTGTTTCTTGATTAATTTTGTCTCTAATTCTTCTACTTGTTTAAGTTTGATTAGCTCACTTTCTTCTTTTCTCCATTCTTCTATTGTTCTATTTTCTAATATTTGTTCTAATATTGCATTGATCTTGTTATTGCTTTTATCTATTAATGTTTCTGGAACTGCCTTTAAGTTATTATTTCATCTTATTTATTTCTTACAATTGTTTGTTACTTGTTCTGTTCTGTTCTTACACCTTTTGCATTTACTTATCTTAGTATATATCTTGCCTTCTACTTTTTGTAGTAGCCAATGTTCTGCTAAGATCTTTTTCTTTTTCTTCTTTGATATCTTACTAAAT